TGCACCATGGCTAGATCCAGTGCATAGGGCTGGGCTGGTGCATTGGATTGCATCCACAGACCAACCCTGCATGCTGCCCCCATGCTGGATCTGGTCCATGGATTAACCCAACTTGTCAGCTCTGGCCTGTGGACCAGCCGTTCATCACTCATCTGGCCCATGGGACCAGATGTTTGAGTACTGCTGCTCTAGCTTGCTGTTCTTCCTGGTCCTATATAACTCCCTCTCATGGCTGGCCAGGGAGGGGGGGTGGGAGTTGGATAACGCCTAACCTGTGGCCTTTTGACCAGAGTATTGTGCTGAGAACTCAGAGATACATACTTTTGTTTGTGGGGAGAGGGCATAACCTGGATTCCTGCTTCCTAGGCAAAGTACCTTAATCCCCTAGGATAACGGTTCCCAAACTTGCACACCACTGATTTAAAATTACACAACCTTAAGCAGCACCAGCAAATTTTTCAGTTCAACCTTAAGTACCACCAGCCATTTTTTGTCATATAAATTCTAATAAATCTGGTAATGCTTACCACTGATAGGTTGTCTGTGTACCACTGGTGGTACCCGTACCACAGATCAGGCAATGCTGCCCTAGGCTATCAGGCTGAAACATAGGATAGCATTCTCCCCTTGTCCCCTAGGTGACGCATAGCAGGAGTATGGGGGGGGGGGCACACCCCCCCCCCAATTGGCTGCCGCCAAAGCTGCCACTGGCTTCTGCAGGCTGTTGCCGCTCGCCACCCATCTACCCCCTCACTGCCGACACCACTGCCTGCATCTGCGGGTGGTCCCCCCTTGCCACTTGCCACCGCTGACACCACCACCAGCATCTGCAGATGGCCCCTGCTCATTGCTTGCCACCACCGACACCGCTGCTGGCATCTGTGGGCAGTCCCCGCTCGCAGCTCAACCCCTGCCCCAACACCGCCGCCGGCATCTACAAGTGGTCCCCGTTCACTGCCAACTACAAATGGTGCCCCCCCAGTCTCAGGAGCCACCAGTCATTCATGCCTTGTCCTGTTTTTGCCTAGGACTTACACTCCGGTACATGGCTTCATATGTGCGCATGTGCCTGGCCAGAGTGTAGCCTCCTGCAGATGCTCACTAGCTGTGTGCCACTTGAGCATGAAACAGGATTGCAAACTGTGTGTAAATGCTGAAAATACCAATTATACAGCCAGATAAATGCCATTTGGACCCATTAAGTGGAATAGAACTCTGTTCTAAGAGCATATCTTTGTGGTTACCTTAATTCATATTGAAAGTGGACTAAGATAAACTGTACAAAGACACTCTTTGGGCTTGTTGGTCCAGGGAAGTCATTCAGATTAAGGTGGGTGTGAATTGAAGGTGTGCCAGCTATTCCTAATTAAAGAGCCATGTAAACCAGGCCTATTAATATGAAATAGGAGTGTCCATGTTGGAAGTTAGTGTGAAATAACTATTGCAGAATAGTTATTTCAGGCTACTTCTGCATGTAGATAAGCCTTAAACACAGTCTCATTAAAAACGGTCTTGAAAATGTAAAATACTGCAGTGAGCAATGGCAGTATTAACAAGGTTCATTCTGTGTAAAATGGTGTGATCCTGCATGATTTGCATATTCAAGAATCCAAGATTTTTTTTAAGGCTATCTTTAAGGGTCCTGATTCTCAGAGGGAAGATGCTCAACATTTTGTAAAAAAGTAGTCTTTAAGGTTCCTCAAGTTGTGCATCCTGTCTCTAGTCCCTTTAGTAACACGGGCAAATGTACTTTAATCAAAGTATTAGCTGCCCAAGGTATTCAGGATCAGGCCCAAGATATTCTGGGCTGGATTCTGACATCTTTACTGATGTGGGGTAGCATCTTACTGAATACCTGCATTGACTTTACTAACACTATTTGTGGAGTATGCAGTTTTTCAAAATGAGTAAGTGTCAGCTCTCAGGGGACAAATTATGACTCATCAATGACTAAGTAACAAATTGGAATCTCTGAATTTCTGATGAGTAACAGGGCGTGTAACAAGGTTATCAAGTCTTTTCTATAATGGCAAACTGAAAAGACAGGATTTAGAGAACAGTATTAACAGCACTGAAGAAGTGCAATTTACTATGATAGAGCAATAAATTATCAGCATAGGAAATAGTTGCTTCCTCTGATAAGTTCACTAGCACATTTGCAGTAAATGTGTTGCGCATCTGAGAATTGTCCATGCAAATCTCCCAAGACAGAAGAGAAGAGGTTTGGGGGTTTTTTTAGTTTCCCTCTACAGTTTTTTTTTTTAAAAAGCAGTATTTTTTTTCTAACGTGAGCATGTGTGAAAAGGTTTTTTGCAGTTTAGATAATCTCCTGGTGATCTCCAGGGGATTTATTTTTTTCTTTCCTTTTTATATCTTACTTTAATTCTACAGTTCTCATCCATTAGGAGTAAAACATTGACCATTATGACCATATTCATCCTTGCGCCACTGCACTGAAATCAGTCTCCTAGGAATTAAGTTAGTGCAGCATGTTTTATTCTCCATTCTGAAAAAAATGTTGGATACAGGACTTTTTAGAGTATATTTTAAATTTTACGTTACAGGGTCTATTTTGATTTCTATAGTGTGTGGAGTGTTCTGAGATGTATGCATGTTCCTTATTGTAAAAATGGAGAGCCAGATTACTGTTTCCAAGAAGGTTTAGAAATGCTGTACTCTGCATGCACGCATGTGCATGTGGGTACGTGTATGTGTGTGTGTGTATGTGTGTGTGAGAGAGAGAGAGAGAGAGAGAGAGAGAGATGAATTTGCTCCTAAGTTTCATGATTCTATGCAAAACTGTTCCACCAGGCAGATTTTGATATGTGGGATTTTTTAAACAAAGTGATGATTGGGATTGCAAGTATTTGTCATTCAGGGGTTTCCCCAGGGAAGGGACATAATTTGTTCCTTTAGGGTGGAGAGGGGTGGTACTGTGAGGACTGATAGGCTGAAGAGCTCAACCATAGACTAGGAAGTAGCAAAGACACAAGGTCATCTGTCAAACCAGAAACATCTCAAGCAGGGTTCTGAGGTGCTTTGAGATCTTTTGAAGGGTGCCACACAACTTTAGCAGTGTTAGGTGTGCAAACATGAATCACAAGATAAACCCAGAGCTTTTGAATAGGTATCCATAGTGTTAAAACCATCCTGACCTGTTATAATCTCTTAGGGCTTCTGTACACGTGCAGGGAGGTGGCTCCCATGCACTGGAAATCCCGAATGTCGGAGCAGACTCGATTAATCGAGTCTGCTGGAGCACAGAAATTAACACGCTCCAGCAGACTGTACTGTCACGTGTATCAGCATCCCCGCGCTGAAAAATGGCAGCAGGATGCTTTGAACTAAAGCTTGTTCAATGAGCTTTAGTTCAAAGTGCCCTGCTGCTATTTTTCAGTGCAGGGACGCTGATACACATGACACTTAGGTGCTGTTAATTAGCATGCTCACTAATTAAAGTGCCCCACCATGCCTCCTGGAGTACGTGTAAAAATGCCCTTAGAGTTCTTTGCAACAGAATTGCTCTATTATTTTCTGTAGTCAAAAAATGAGTGAAAAAAAAGAGTTGGCATTTTTTGAGCAATGGTTTAAGTCTATCCAGGGGTACCTTAAGTCTAATGAGGTTGAGAACCGCTGGATTAGAAACTCATAAAGCACAAGGGCTTGTGTACCTCTATGCCTGGTAAGTTTCTCCTGTGTCTTGCCCCATACAGGGGCAGACTCAGGGAAGGGTGCAATGGTACAGATGAACCCTTCTTTGATTCCTGCTCCACCCAGATTCTAGCTAAAAACCTTAACTCAGATGTGGCAATATGAATTCAGGTGTAGAAATGACTGACAGTGAAGTACTGGAGGCCGCTCAAGAAGGCTAGTTTTGGTTTACGGACGAGAACTAGAGACCTACATTCGACTGTGACGATGACTGCAGGACTAATGGCATAATGGTGGGCACGTCTACACACACATTAATATGCTGTGATTACTGCACATTAAGTTTAGCACCTTGAGTTTATATTGACAACATTTTATAGAAGCAGGATGTTGGCTGCTGTGGTTCCTCTGCTTTACCTGTGACAGGTTTGGGGGTTAGGTCTGTGTTGTCAGGGCTCACATAGAGTTTTTAGATAATAGTTTGTATGGGTTGGTTTGTCTCTGGCTGATCCTGCCTCAGGCAGGGGGTTGGGCTAGATCAGTGTTTCTCAACCTGTGGGTCATGACCCTAAAGTGGGTCACAAGAATATATGGCCGCCCCCCCCTGCCCCACACACTGGGGGGGTGGGGGTGGGGGCAGTGAGGGGCACTGGGTCGAGACTGGCCACTGATGTTTACAGATGGGTCCTGGTTAGGGTGGCCATCATTGGCAATGCACATGCACGTGCACCCCCTGAGCGTGGTGGTGCACCCCCTGCAAAAAGGTGCTGCCGACACTGCAGTCGGTCATCCCTCACCACTCTGCCCCCCTTGCCGCCAGTGTCTGCGGGCGGTCCGCGATTGCCCCTGGCCCCTGCTGGCAGTCTCTGCAGGTGGTTGCTGACCGCTGGCCAGCGCTTGCCACCCCCACGGGGGGCGGGGGGCACGTGATGCTCACGGTGGCCATCATAGAGTACAGTCTGTCCCCTGTCCTCAGTTTTCTGCTACTCTGTCCTCTGTTGATACGAAACCCCACACCTTTCCGCCCTCTATGTTTCTCTTCCAGAAGGCGTGGGGTTTGTTATCAGTAGAGGACAGAAGACAACCCTAGTCCTGGTGCAAAAACTGTTGAGAAGCACTGGACTAGATGACCAGCCCTGCTTCTCCGTGCCTCCACACTGTCTTTGCACTCCCTTTCACGCCGGTCCTTGCGGGTCTGTGTGGAAACCCTTCGGCCTGGCAAGGCGGCGCAGTAGAGTAGCCCCTTCGCTTGTGCGCTGATCTCCAGCCGCGGCGCCGGGTTGCTCTGGACCCGGAGACCAAGTCGGGGCGCGCTGGG